AGTAGAAAGCCAATATGATATTTCTATCTGATGATGTTTGGTCCACTGACATCCTGACAAAATATGGCAGTAACTTTTTTGTACTAGATTGCGCGTTATCTGTTAGTGTCCTAATGAGATCATAAAGGATTTCTAATTTAAAGAGCGAATATTTTAGACCAATACTAAAATGTAAAATGCAGTACTCACGAATAACAGTCAAAATAATGGTGTAAAACATGAAGTGGTTCACGCTGCAAATCAATGAAAAAACACTCCCGAACAAACTTAAATAATTTCAAAGTCCTCTATTTGGTAAACCTACGGACTGATATTGTCGTGACCTTGACGTAATACTGACCTCTCTGTCGCCTCAAACTGACATGAGTATGGGTACTGAGATACCTACTGTTCGACAGATATATGCGTTTGAATATATGACCTTCGAATGACATTGAGAAATTTAAAAGCTTCTATTCAGAAAACCCACTGACTGATATTGCTTGATATATCTGTGACTTCAAATAAACGTATGTCCACTAAGATACATAAGGTTCGGCACAATTAAGATTGAGATTTATTCGATTTAAATTACATTTGAATTTTTAAATGTTGATATTTAGTTCAATGAAATTCATAGAATCGTGAATTCAAGATACCTATCACATAATAAAAAAGTTAAAACGATGCATAATTTAACACAAAGCAACGTTAGGTTCCCAAACATAACATAAAAAATCTCACCGTTAACCTAACCCAACCGAACAACTTAACCTAACCAAACCTAACCTAACTCAACCTAACCTATCCAATCTAACGTAATCAAATTAGACACTGAGAATATATTGTGACCTATAAATAACCTTGAAATATACATGACCTCTAAATGATGTGTGCAGTGTCACCCAGATTCATACAGTTCTCTATGTATATGCGTGAGAAAATAGTACTTCGACTGACCTTGAAAAGTTTAAGACCTCTTATTCTCAAACAGTCTGCGTGATTTTGTAGTGGTCTTCAAATGACCTTGATCTATCGTAACCTCATTTTAACATGAGTATATTCAAGCAGGTATTTACGGTTTGGGGGAAATAGGCGTGAATATATGACATCGAGAATTTTAAAGACCTGTATATGGCAAACTATTGGGCCGGTCTTGTTGTGACTTCCATATGACCTTGACCTATATGTAGCCTCATTTTGACACAAATATGGTCAACCAGATATTTACCGTTTGGCAGAAAGAGGCGTGAAAAATATGACATTGGGAATTATAAAGATACGTATCTGTGAAACTAGTGGGCCGACTTTGTAGCGAATTCCATATGACCTTGAACTTTACGTGATCTCATATTGACAAGAATATTGTCAACCAGGTATTTACCGTTTGGCAGATATAAGCGTGAAATTATATGACCTTGAGAATGTTAAAGACCTGTATCTAGCAAACTATTGGGCCGTTCTTGTTGTGACTTCAATGAGATATTGACCTATAAGTGGCCTCATTTTGACATGAGTATGGTCAACCAGACGTTTACCGTTTGGCAGATATAAGCGTGAAAATATATGACCTTAAGAATTATAAAGACCCCTATCTGTGAAACTAGTGGGCCGATTTTGTCGTCACTTAAATATGATCTTGACCTTTACGTGATTTCATTTTTACATGAGTATGGTCAATCAGGTATTTACGGTTTGGCAGAAATACGCGTGAAAATATATGCCCTTGAGAATTTTAAAGATCCGTATCTGGCAAAACATTGGGCCGATCTTGACGTGTCATCGGAATAACCCTGACCTATACATGACCTCATTTTGACATGAGTATGGTCAACCAGGAATTAACGCTTTGGCAGAAATAAGGGTAAAAATATATGACCTTGAGAATTATAAAGACCTTTTTTGGCAACATACTGATCTGACCTGACCTAACCTAACCTAACCGAACCTATCCTAACCTAATCCAACCTAACTTAACCTAACCTAACCTAAAATATCCTATCGCAAACCTAACCTAATCTAAACGTACATAAATAATTTTAACCTAATCTAACCTTACCAAACCTAACCTAAATTAACCAAACTAACCCAACCTAACCTAATTTAAACTAATCTAACCTAACACAACCTAACACAACCTAACATAACATAACCTAACCTCAGTATTTTCAACCGCACCAAACAAATGTGCCTTTGATTATCTGTTCATTTTGGCCAACGTTAGTCATCTCTGTGGATTTACAACCGGTATATAACTCGGCAATCATTACTTCTATACCACTGTCCATTTATTGCTACCCAATATAAAATAATGTTCCGGGTCTTACCACTCAAATACAGGAAACCCACGTCAGCCACTGGTTTCCATTTGTATCCAGTTGTGCCAGCCTAAGGTTTACATTTCCAAGAGGCCCACATTTGGAGAAAGCACGGCTGTAATAGCCACTTTAATCCAGTCGATATCACCCCAGTAACATACTTCATTTAATAGACTAGTATCCTTCCATCTCAGTCTAGATTTCCCAATTGCCCTTTCTTTCAGATTTTAAGAATAAATTTTTTATGCTCTTGGGCTTTGAAAAAAGAAGTAGCGATCGTTGTCCCTGTTGCCTACAGTTCGGCGTTAAGGCTTTCAGACAAGTGACCCAAGCAGCTGGATAGTGATTGTTGTTTATCATTCAACTGATATCTCTCCGTGTAGTCTGAGAAGCAGTAGCAGAGTTAACCTGGAAATTGAACAGTGCTGCCATCTGCCTAGCTACTCTTTGTACTTTTCGGCTTGACGCAGCCCATGAACGCGTTTTTAACTCCACGCTTCCTTTGTGTGTCATGTCGTAGTCTATACATAGCTCAAGCGATGAGAGGCAAATTTCTACATACAGACAGAAGCGTCGACCGACTTTCTGTTCAAAATTTACAGTCGATCGGTTCACATGTTCTCAAATTATCCTTCACGCCCCTGCAAGCACTGATTTTTATGAGCTTTCTACAAAGAACTCTACATGCTGCAGAATCACTTCAGTGAAAACACAACGTCGGCTGAGCCTTGTGTCTGGCTTCAAAATTGATCAGACCTTTTCTTTAAGATTGCCCTATGACCTTCCATGCCCTTATATATTTCTTAGGATTCCGAAGGAACATATTTCCTCCCCACAAATAATAAACTTTTAATAGCTCAGATTATACTTCAAATGAAAATGAGTAAAAAAATGGAGTGGAATAAATGTGGAGGAAGTGGCCATAACGGAATGGATGATACTGTTCCTATTATTTCGTTATTGGAGTCGCGGTTTACTTTCAAGGTGTTAGTTTCTGCAGTCGGCTTGCCCTCGTTTGCAGAACGCTATCCAGAAGCCCCTAAACCCATGCATAAACCATTTTCCTTTTGCCACCAGTCACAGCGTTTCACTCGGAAGGTTCTTCTCACTCATGTCAATTGTTCATACTACTCTCTGACGTGGTACCAACAACTTAACTGCATACAATATTAACAGGAGCGATATTTCGATGGCTTCTGCTATTATTCGTATGGAAAACCGGCTGGAAATTGTAAAAGGCCGAGAGGCCTGTTGGTGTCATAACACAGAGTTGTCACGGACGGAGGAAGCAGATATTTTCCGGCATTAAGTGTGTTAAAATGATCTGATCAAGTCGGTAGCTGAACCCGAAATATTAATATCACACAGCAAGTAACTTCGAGCTCAACCACCAAGATCTGGTGAACGACTAAGTAATACTCCACATTCAAACGTACACAGCCGCAAAGACGACACGAAACAGTTACTGTAAACAGCTATTCCAGACGTTATTTCAGTTACATGAACTTTTAACTTAACTGCCCTGGAATCGCTGTCAAGTTCACTGGTTGGTACCTGCAGTAGGCAAATTCGTTTACGATGACCAATTATGTGCTAGTAACACTGGTATCTACAACAACTGGCTGACTGATGAACAGTAAAATATAAAAGTTTTCTTTTGTCCTAAGTTCTTCCCTTCCCGCCGTATTGCGTATATTCAAATTTTTTCCTGGCAGCAGTGATCAAGACCATGACTAACGTTCACGAGAACAGCTGTTATTAAAAATAGGTAGATCACTCGTCTCCATATGAAATGTCTCAGTCAGGACAAACGGTCTCCCGGCCCAGATTCTAACCTCTCGAATACGAAAAAGCGTTAACTACTCGGCCGTGATGTGCTGTCGCAACCCCATCGAGCCGTCGGTCATGCCGATTTCTGTTTTAACAGCAAGAACATGCTTCGAGGCCTCAGCTTTCTATTCAGTAGGTACCGGGATTCTTTACATTATGGTAAAGCCGGTAAAGCTTGAAATTAACCGCTCACCTGAATCTAATTCCTATGTTAAGGATAAAACATGGACCTTTTTCTCCGCTCCCCATACGTCTACAGTTTATGTGTTCAGTAAAGCATCAGGGCCAATAACATTTGGTTTGCATTCTAGAAGTACTGAATAACTTTATCTTATAAATAAGAAGCTGTTATTTGTGAAAGATTAAAAACAGATGCTGTGTCTTTTCATAAACTATTAATACTGCATAAGTAACTAAATTATTAGCTGAAAGCATCTATTCGATTTCCACCAGGGGTAGTGATTTCTCCCGACCGCCTCTGGAGTCGTTAAAGCCTCGTATTCGATCGCCACCGGGGGCTGTTTCCCCGGCTGAAATGTGGCCGGGGCAGAAGTTGACAATGTGTAGTAGATTCTCAAGGCACTGAACATGTCGACGTTGGTCTACTGGGTTTTCACATCGTGTGGACTCGCAGGTAGATACCAACGTTTCGAAGGAACGTATTGCCTCCATGTTCAGAACTTCAACTCTGAACACGCAGTCTGTGTGTTCCACCAAAATATTGGTACCCGCCCACCCACCTACCAGTTCACTTGTCGTTACAACCCAGAACGACATCGAAATGTGTTTGTTCTTCTCCGGAAGTCTTCATAACGCGTGTAGGGCCAACTTTGCCATTAGCGAAATAAGTAAAGGGATTATTTTCTTACGTACGTGCTTCAACATGATTTTCACGCAGCGATTAGGCAGCCCAGCACAACCACCACCCTACAGTCGCAACCGTGGCTTCTTTTTTGTAGGCTGAAAATAAGAATTACAACCACACATTCAATTCTAATACGAAGAAAATAAACTTAGAAACATTTAGGCTACTCCACTGTAAATGCAAGAATTAGGCCCAAAAATGTTTTTCTTGGGATTTTGCATTTTCCGCGCATTTAAACTCGTGTGACATAGGGCCCTGCGATAAGATGATTAGTTAAAATGAAATGAAAGTTATGTGAAAGGAAGTATCCGAAATCTAATTTAAAGTACTCTGCCGACGGATTGAGGAAAACCATGAACAATCTGTCAGCGAAGTCGGTTTCCGTGCCGAGACTTAAACACACGACCTCCCAAATGCGAAGCAGGAGTGCTAATCATTTGACCCAGACGTTCAATCTGAGCTCCAGATGCTTTATGAATGATAATACATAATACGGAATAAGTTACAAGCTTTTGGTTAGGTGGTGCTCAGGAAGATACGGCAAGGACACGTGAAATTTAACAATTTTTACTGTAGCATTGCTCACGGACTAAAACCAAACGCATTTGCGCACGTTATATGATCGAGTTCTGTGACCTACATTGTACATTATGATATATCTTAGGAAGATAGGCTTTGGTGACCGAACATGAATGTTACTGCCCCACAATCATGTCTGATGGTGGACTGATATTAGCGGTGTTTAGACTTCGGGTTTTGTTAACGCAGAAAACAGTTTTCATGCTCTAAGAATCACTGCAAAGTGCTTGATAATATATTACTACGTAATAAATGCGATTTCTCCAAAAAGCAAACAGTATTTGTAGTAACTGAAGAACATTACTGGGGTAAATGAAAATCTGGTCATTTTAAATAAGATTTGTAAAATTCTGCCTACTAAGATTTTATCTCAAACAAAGTGCATGTACAAACTTGAGGCATGTGAACGGAAAGGTTACACCGATCGATAGGGGTCAACTTGCAAGCCCCACCGAGCAGAGCTAGCTGCTTCCTGATACCTACTTACTTAACTTACTAACATTAGAGCATATTTGTTAGCCACCTCAGTCCAACTGATATTAACCAACACCGCCAGAGATTCAACGTCCAGCAGTGCATATGAACTTGACCGGATACTTGTCACCTTATGTAAAATCTGCGTGATTCTAATCATGTTCACAAAAGCTTACAATAGAAGCTGTCAGTCCAGTTTACATGCACACCAATTGTTTCTATAATATATACTTCAGTGCATAGACCGCAAGTAATCTCATTTCATGATAAGTAGAACCAAAAGTTTCTTCTTGTACTTCTTTTTCTGTGTTTTGGTAGTTCTAGCGTTTTGGAGAAACATTCTGTTACCATTTCAGATTACAGGTTCTCACGGCGCAAAAACCCATGAATATCCCTGATGACGGAGGCAGTGTGACCTCCGAAACGTTGGTAAACATCGACCAGACTACACAGCGCAACAACCCAGAAGACAGAAATCTTCGTACTCATCGCCCTGATGATGGAGGCAGTATGACCTCTGAAACGT